TCCCCTCTCATGCTGTTTCTCTCTCTGTCTCTCAAATAAATAAATAAAATCTTAAAAAAAAAAAAAAACAAAGAGGGAGGAATTTGTCCCGTTACTTATCTCCTGTCCACCATAAAACCTGAATCCTGGGAGCACGATTGCTGAGCAGAATGTACCCTGATAAGAAAAATGCACACGAAGGTTTTCAGGTTTGGAAAACTTATTTATAAGGAGACTGTGGTAGATGGAGTGAACAAGATGGAAACAAAGTTCCTATAAAACAATGACTGCCTGAAATTTTATAAGGGCAACACTAAGTTTTAACATGTTCAGTCTCCCTGCCAAAGGACAGAAAACAAATAACTGAAGAGGAGACATTCCTAATCTCTTTCCCTCTAGCTCAATGGTTCTCAAAGTGTGGTCCCTCAAAGGGCAGCGCTGGCATCACCTGGGGAAGTGGTTAGAAATGGAAATAACTGAGCCCCATTCCCAAACTTACTGAATCAGAAATGGGGTGGGGTTAGCAATCGGTGTTTTAACAGGCCCTCCAAATGGTTCTGTTGCTCATAATTAGGGGTCTGCAAACTAGGGCTTGTACGACAAATCCAGCCTGCCACCCATTTTTAATAAATAAAGTTTCACTGGAAGACAGCCACACTCATTCATTTCCATATTGTTTATGGCTGTTTCCATTCTACCATGGCAAAGCTGAGTAGTGGCCACAGAGACTCTATGGCCTATGAAGCCTTAAGTATTTACTATCTGGCCATTTACAAAAAAAGTTTACTGATCCTGTCTGACTTAGAATGATTTCTTCTTTAAAACTGCTGGTTTTACTCATCAGTGTGTACAAGTGCATGGTTTAAATTTTGTCTTACTCTGTTTATCCTGCTTTCTATCAAATGGACTGGATCACACCTATTTCCTTGTACCTCAGTCCCTGGAAATCCTGCCAATGGCTCTGGGTGACTTCCTCTCCGATGCCCATGTTACAGTTCCAGTCTCTTATTGAGGTGGATTCAGTACATGACACTTTCTCAGTCTATGAGTGCAACGCTAGACAGAGATGAAGATCAAACCTTACTGTGCATGAACGGTTAGAGATGTCCATTTCCAAACATATCCTGAATCAGAGTTTGCCTTCTTGAAATTAATACCTTTAATAAGCTGGCTACCTAAGTGCAGAAAGGGATGGAGAACTTCCTCTGCGTGTAGTGCAAGAAAGGTTGCATGATGTTCCCCAAAAATATTTTTAGGGAATCACTATGAAAGGCACAGTCCTTGCACATAATCAATATAATTCAATACACTACAGTGCAATACAATATAAAGCCCCCTTTAATGGCCTGTTCCATAGGTGTCTCTTATGGATGAATGTTAAGTAAATTAGATTTCAATTCTACCCTCAAACAGGCAATTAACCAAATTGTTACCTATATCATTGGCTATGTATACTTTAGAAAAATGAATCCCAAACATAAGGAGTTCATCAGAGAAACCACCTCTATCTATTAACCCAAGGGCAGAAACACAGAGAACGCAAAGCAGGCTGCCATCAACAACGTGGTGATAATTATAATGGTCAAGCCTAGCACAGCCATAAGGTAGGCAAGAAAAAGAGACATTTAATATCTTATTTGCTATTTTCTTAGTTATAAACTCTTCAAGCTATGAATTTAGTTTCTTTAGCTCTCCCCACAGTCCCAGAACTTCACCCTGACTCATTTTTACCTAAATCAGCTATGGATTAGAAGAACAGGGGGAAGAAACAAATGATGTTATAAACATATATAAAATTATGATGAATGATTTACTGTTCCGTCTCCAGGAGACACGGGATAACTCCCTTCTTGGGAGTTCTAACTCCTCCCTAAGACAGATATTCTGACAGATTCTAAAAAACATGTTTTCCATATACTTCATAGTTCAGTGAAACTAAACCACTGTAATCCTCACTGGGGGAAAAAAAAAAAAATCCACACAAGAATAGAAGTACTCTGAATTTTCAAAGGAATGTGAGTCGCTGGAAGCTAATCAAAAGAATGAGATGGGCTTTTAAATGAAGCAGTTTCTAAAAGTAAAAATCAGTAAAATGGTCTCTCCCCCAAACTTCAATGCCCTACGATCACTTTAAAAATCATCACTATTTCAAGGTATGGAAGCATTAAAAGGGCCCAATTGTCTAGATTCATTAGATCATCGTTTATGCTCACATAAGGGAAATAAGGCTATTTTTGAGACCTCTCCTGTCCAGGATCTGATTAAGTTTGCATTCTCAAGTACTCTGCATGACAGGGAGTTCAGAAGTTCACAAGTTTTCAGAAATTTACATAGATTAAAAAAAACTAAGATACACATTTATATCTACAATTGTGAAAATGCAAACTGCCTATCCCAAAGACTTTCTAAATGAGGAAATTACTGTGTGATGGAGGGCGGTGTGGTGATCAAAATGAGATGCTACATTCCATGCTTCCCAGGTAAGAAGTCTGGATTTTCCTCCAGTAAAAACTACTTCACAACTACCTATACTTTTGATTTCTCATAAATTACAATGAGTTAATATAATACAGAGAGTATACCAGCATAGAAAAAGATGAGCACGTAATGAATGAAATCGAAAAAATAAAATGTCTGGACCTGGACAATAGTTAAAAAGATTAAGTAGAGATAGAGAGCATATGATAATTGCTTTATTTAGAGGGAAAGAAAAAAAACTTTGGGAAATGTTGCCTTAGCCTTTGAGTGAATATTAATTTTGCACAAACTAATGCACACCATGTACTACACTTTTATAGGAGCAAATAACAAGAGATCAAACTGATATATTTCTTCATGTAACCAGATAAAAGGGAAGCTCATAGAATCAGTACTGATTCAGCCCAAAAGAACATGTAGAACATAGTAATGGATTCTAATGATAACCCTGAAATCATCAAGAAAAAGTTAACTCTATAAGGACTGATTTTTTTGTGAAGTCATCCTTTCTCTGTAATTTGGGCCACACTGACACATGAGTACAATTCACCTACACAGCTCCCTCACACACATACTCAGAGGAGTTTCTGTCATTGTAGAGACAGTGAACAGGAAACCAGTGTTTGCCCAGAGCATAAATGCCAGGACAGCAAGGATTTTCGTGTATACGCTTACACTTTTGTGTATTGTTTTGTGTACTGTGAAACCGGAAGACCAAAAGCCAAACTTATGACCATTTCCTATGAGAAGAACTTGAAACATTATTTATACCTTGAAAATCTTGACAGGTCATGAAGGACTGATGTGTGCTTATGTGCACCAAGTGTGTAAAGACAAGGAAGTGGTACATTTAGAAAAAAAGAGTTGCTTCAAATGCTAGCTTTTAGGGAGATGGAAAGTAGACCCTTGGGGAGCTTACTGAACTACCATCAGGCAACAGAAAGGGGAAATGCTACAAGAGATTTCTGTAGAGAAACAGTCCAGTGAGAGAAAATGTCAAACCTGGATCAGCATTACCTCCCAGCAAAGCCAACATCATGGCTTCAGCACATTTCTTCCCTTAGAGCAGATTCTCCCTGAATCGTCCAAGCCATGGCGGTGTTGGTAAACACTTGGGAAATGACTCCCACCTTTCCCATTGACCTGATTCCCCATCCCTCCACACCCACCCCCCCATAGAAGGAAGATACTAGCATATGGAAAAGCCTTATCTGAATTACCTGGTGCCGGGCTCGACTCTGGTCCAGAAGCTGCCGGGACTGAAGTTTTTGTTGTTCAAGTTGCTGCAGGGCAAAATGGAGTTGGTAACTGCCCGCTGTGGGGTGATACTTGTGCTGAGGGACCACCCCCGTAGCCTTGCTATACGCGTTGTTTTCTACCTCTCCCTCCCAGGCAAAGCCTCCTGTTTGAAGGCTCCTAAAGAGAAAAGAAAGCATTATTTCTTAGAGAGGTTGTATGAACAACCTAACGGATAAGAGGGAAATATCACAGGTGTTTTTCCTGTATAGAGCAAAACACAGTGTGGAATTACAAATCTATTTGTGTGATAAATGATCTGATTCGCCCACTGAACTGTAGCTCCAAGAAGACAAAGTCAGGGTCGGCTCTGCTCTCCATTCTATTCGTAGCGCTTATCCCGAGGCCTGGCACATGGTCAGTGTACATAAGTATCTGTTGAAGGTTAAATAATGAAAATAGTCACCTCAGTCCCCTGTGAAGGCCACAAGGGCTTCCGAGAGGAGCCAGGGAGCTTCAGATGCGGGATGGCAAGTTAAATTTCAGGTAGGAACAGAGAAGCAATCATCTTCTCTAACATCAACTTCAAAAGTATAGGGGTGAATTTCACAGAATTCATGGTTTTTCTTAACTACCCATTAGTGAGCTCATGTGTCCATCATGGGATAAAACAACTGGTCTGAGAAGATACTTTTTTTCATTATTCTAAATTTACCTCAATAGAGTCCCAGGCGAGCTGATGTTTAGCCTGTACATCTGAGGAAGGTGAAGGGCTGGTGGCCTTGGGGACTGTACAGTACTCATGCTAGGCTGTTTGTTACATACTCTGACTTTCTTCGTTATCTAGATTCCAAAATTTTAGATTCTGGTGACCATGTCTGTGTAAATCCCAGCTGAAGTCTTCATAACTACAGGTCTACTACTTGCCCTCTCAGTCCACTTCTTCCAAGTAGAAAAGTCCCCATTTATACCACTTCATACCCATTAGGATGACAACTATTAAAAACAAAACAAAACAAAACAAATGGAAAAAAACAAATGCTGGCCAGCGCAAGGAAACACTGGAACTCTCATGCATTGCTGGTGGGAACGTGAAATGGTGTAGCTCCCGTGGAACACATTCTGGCAGTTCCTCAAAAAGCTAAACACAGAATTACCATGTGATCCAACAATTCCCACCCCCTCCAGGTATATACCCCAAAGAGGGGCCTCAGATGCTTGTACACAATGTTCACAGCAGCATTATTCCCAAGAGCCAAAACGTGAAAACATCAACACGTGAACGGATAAACAAAATGTAGTCTATACACACAATGAAATGTTAGCCTTAAAAAGGAAAGAAATTCTGACATGTTGCAACATGGATGAACCCTGGGGACATCATACTACGTGAAATAAGTCTGTCACAAAAGGACCAATATTGCATGATTTCACTTCTATGAGGTCCCTGGAAGAGTTAAGTTCATAGAGACAGAAAGTAAAATGGTGGCTGCCGGGGCTGGGGAAATAGGAGAATTGGGAGTTACTGTTTAATGGGTACTGAGTTTTTAGTTTGGGATGACAAGAAAGTTCTGGAATGGACGGTGGTGATGGTTGCACAAGCTCTGAATGCACTATATGCCACTAAATTATACACGTAGAAATGATAAATTTAGGTTTTATGTATTTCCCCACTGTTTTTAAAAAAGGTCCCCATTAATTTTTAGAACAGTCTTATCTGGCAGCCCTTTTCTCTCATTTTTGGTTCTCCTCTGGACCTTCTTCAACTACCCTGTGGTGTTTTGTTTTGTTTTTTTCCTTTTTGAAGTACAGTGACCAGGAAATTGTACACAGAAGAAACAAGAAGAATCTCATAGTGAACAATCTTACCCCAAACCTGGTTATCAGGGCTTAAAGAAAGGAAACAGTGTCTAACTAAAGAGAAATACTCATAGTGACTTAAATCATCCTGCTGTTATTTCCTCTGCAGATTTCCTTTGACATTAAGGGTCATTTCAATGGCAGAGATGCAGCAACACTGGGATAAGGTTATAAGACCTTCCTGAGGCCTGACCTCAGGCCGCCTAGTTATTTATAGCCTGATTCCTAATGACCCCGACAGAGCCCTGGGGGAAGGAGCAAAGTGGAATGTCCGCTGAGTCCAGGAGCCCAGGCTCCTCTCTCGTCTGTGTTCTCCAACATAGCTTCGTCATTTCAGGGGTCTGCTTTGGTTTCTCTGCCTCTCTCAGAGAGATTTCCAAATACCTAGTTAAGGGAAAGTCTGTGTAATATATTCTTAAGTCCACGGATGAAGGGTTTTCTACTCACATAATCTCACCTCTGACAGGTCACATCCTCACTCATCTCCTCCCACAGTTTGGCTCCCACAGTTCAGTTGTATAATTACACACTTTCAGCTAATCTTCTCGGAGAACAGTACCAAAAAGCTGAGAGCTTACTTATGAATTTTTCTGAGTTTGACATCTGATCTTCAGGGATCCCTCAGTGTGCATGCTGTTACACAGTTAAAAAGACACGCTCTTTCCCAACGGACTTCCAGAGATATAGAGAAATGTGGCAACCAATGACTGAATAGAAATAAGTACCTAAATACGCAAATAAAAAGTTCTCATTATTCTACAAAGCGAAGTGTTGAGTGGGAGTCGAACAGGAGTTATAGGGTGAGGAAAGGAGGGGCCAGAGAAAGCTGTTATCTCTTTTCTCATTAGTGAGGGAAGAGAAAAGCTTAATGAAGAGAACGTGCAAGAAACAACTGAGCAGCTCAGGAACTGCATGGTCTCTGAGTGCAAGGAGGGGTGGTGGGGAAAGGCATCCAGGTATAAATGAAGAGAAGGGTAGAGGCAGGAGTGGGCGGATCCAATGAACAAGTGACCGCAAGGGAAGAGACAGATGGAACAGCAGGAACGGCCTGGCTGAATAACCTTGAGATTTCCATATTGATTACGGCAGGTATTCGAATTTAGAATGAAACTATTATTTATAACTGCACCCAAAGTCAGAAAATTAATCAATTGTGATTCTACTACTATTTCTGGCTTGCTGGTTGTAGAAGTTTCTAGCCACAAGTAGCAATCTAGACTCAGGAATTAGATATTAAAGGGTTTTTTTTAACTACGTTATAACTATTACGTCAGAATTCACCTCACTGGCAGGCTAGATTGTTTTTATTTTCTAAAAGTGCCTTCTTAACAGATATTCCTAGGAGGCATTTACTTTAATGCCTTCTTGTTGTACATCAGAAATCAGAGTAACGAGGCCCTCTTATATGAAGACGACCAGGGACAGATTCTCAGGTGTGTGTCCACAAAGCAGGGGTCTGTGAGTATAAGGGGTAGGACAGTGGGTAAGAGAAGGTCATATAAGAGACTACGGATAGGAGGTCTGTTCATCCAACTGCACACATAGTGCAGGGACTGCAATCTCACAAACTTTCATAGTAAAAGCTGTTTTTAATCTCATCAGTAACCCAAGCCCAGTCTCCAAATCACAAAAGAAAGTTTCTCAAGCAAGTAGAAACTTTTATCAGAAGCAGGAATTTTTACGGTGCACCTCTGGGTGGGGGCAAGAATGCTCAGCTGTGTAAAGCAATGTGGTGAGCGCCATGAGAAACTTGCTTACTTTGAGTGACGGTGGTGGTACTCAGGCCATGGTATCTCACAATTAAAGCACAAGCCTCTGGGGTTTGTAATATGCAAGTTCTACAATGACTGACTTAGAGGAAGTCAGGTGCACTCTCATTTGGGCCTTACCTGAGATTACATATCTCCATATTCCCTTCTATGGCATCTAATAGTTTCCATTTCCAGCCAAAATCCATCCTGAACCTCGATTCATTGTAGTCTATTAGTAACACATTTCCTACCGCCATCAAAATTTTGAGCTTTAATTATTCTCTCTAGTTTTTCTGTTATTTCTTGCTCAATACTAAAATATTATATTGTACATATTTCCTGCAAATAACTTCTAAGAGTTTTATATTATTTCTAGAACAGAGAAGAGAGAGCCAAGAAAATCAGCTGTGGAAATGCTCAGAATATCTAACATTGGACTCAAATTCAAAGATTCAAAGTGAACTATGCTGTATTTCACCTTTACTACACATGTAGCTTATAGGCAACAATATGGCAAATTTTTCTGAACATCACCTTCTCTTATTAGCCTGTTCATTTAGAACTTCATCTCACTTTCTATATCACACTGTGGCAAGGCAGGGCTAAATGTTTCTCCATAACTGCCCTTCCTATAGCACAGTCCCCAAACTCCAGCCAATACATACTTTCTCCTTTGCTTTAATATTTGTTCCATCAAATGGATGTTGGTTGTAAGGAATTTGGAGGCACTGGTTTTTATACGATGCACTGGTTTTTAGCAAAGCAAATCTCACCAGGCAGTTGAACTCTCCGTGAAGACAGGCTTTCAGATTTTCTGAGATTGTTGTGATGTCACAAGAGTGTAGGGTAAGAATGAGGCACAGGAATGTGACAGGCATACAGAGACTGTGATCCCGCAGTCCATGTCCCCAGCCTCCTCCATCCACCCAATCCCAGCTAGACTTGAGCTACCATGTGTAGGGAGTGTTGGGAAGTGTGTGGGTGTAGATATTAAGGACAGCAGAGGCTACATTTTCTTTGTCTATAAATTCTCAGTCCCAAAGTAGTCATAGCACCCAGTAAGTGCTGCAAAGGAGCTATAAATGCTGAACATCTCACAGATGAGAGAAAGGCTCCCGCGAGCAGAACAAAGCAGTGCAGGCCAGAATTAGGAAGCTCTGAGATCAGAGAGGCATCAGGCAGGGGGGTGAGGACTTCTCTTGGCTTTAGGGGATGCTTCCAAGGACAAAAGTAGAGTGATTCTGCGTGGAATGTTGTGTCCCCCATTCCCAATGCCTCCCAGGGCAGCTGGAATTGGGCCATATTCACAAAGACCATACAGGGAAGAAGAGAATAAAGCAGGGAAGGGTCCTCTCCACTGGGGCCTTCATTACACTAACTTGTCTGTGCTTCAACTGTTCTCATCTGTGAAACGGGATATGCTAATAAGTACCTATTTCAAGAGCTGTGGGGGTTCAAGAGCTAACAGAAGTGAAAGTACTGGCACGCAGGAAAGGCTCCAACAATCTATCACCACCACGAATACTACTATTATTACTATTCCTCCCCCACCAAATGATTCCATTTCAC